CCGTCTGTCACCGACACCAGCTTTTCTAACGTTACCTTTTCCTCCACGAAGAACCTCTTCACCACGTTGTAGATGTCAATTCCCCTCGTTGTTGTCTTCAGGGGCAGAAGTGTCAGGACTTCTTCTTTTGTGGAGAAATCATCAAACACCATTCGGATAAACATCATCAGCTGAGCTGTACTGGTGCTGTCCATGGACTTGTCGCACTGGATGCTAAACCACCTGCACTGAACCAGATCCCGGTCCAGTTGCTCCATGAAGTTTTCGGATATAGCAGACAAGTATACCATCGTACTTGCCCCCAGTTGGACATCGGAGAGAGTGGAGATGGCATCGGGACCATTCTTCTTGTCTTTGAACAAATTATCATGGCAGGTTGTGAAATAGTCTCAACATGCAATCTATTGGTTTCTAGTCCAATGGAAAGTCAATTAGGAGCCTTATTTGTGGTGGACACGCAAATGAAATGCATCCACCTGATAAAGCAACCGTCGGAGCAAGTGACGTACTTTATAATATCCAAAAAGAACACTATTTGTGGGAAGGAGGGATGAGTCCAACAAACAAGACTTTCAACCAGGAGGCAGGTGTTCGACCCCACATTGCCTAGACCAGTGATTTTCAACCACTGGGCACACCAGTGTGCCGTGAGAGATCGTCAGGTGTGCCGTGGGAAAATGTCCAATTTCACTTAATCGGTGCCAAAAAATATTATTGAGTTGCTGCAAATAATTTGCCATTGTTGAGCGTCTGAGCTGCAACATAGTGGTTGGCTACTTAATAAATACTCTTCCATGCCAGTGGGGGGCAGTAGGTAGCGCAGTAATGACTGTGTTAATTTAAGACATTAAATGATGTGCAGGAGAGGTTGTCACTGCAACCTCTCCTGCACATCATTTAATGTCGAACAAATATGCAGACTCTGATCTGGGCCCTGGACAACAAAACTGATACGAGAGGGCCTGAGAGCTGTTGAGGAAGAGCTTCGAGAGAGCCTTTCTTCAGCTTTGGGTTCGAACCCACAGGCCAAGGTTTCACACTGAGTAAGGATCAACAAATTGAGAGTCATTAAATTGTCAGCATATATGCTGTATTATGCTACAAGGTGTCATTTTGTAACTTTTTTGTGTGCCGCGGGATCTTTTTAATGTAAAAAATCTTTTTAATGTTTTCCTAAACCTAATTACGTGGTCTTGTTGCATTAGCCTAACTTTACGTAGCTATTTTAAGCCCAACCATTATGTGTAACCAAAAAATGTCATAATATAGTAAATCATAAGTCAGATATGTAGTAGTAGTATGTAAAAAAAAAAAAAAAAAAATGAAGAAAAATAAGTCATACATTTTATTTTTAAAAAGGTCAGTAAAAGTCATCGTAATGTATGTAAAAAAAATACATGGTATGGTTAGTCTTTAAAGCTGGGCAACGATTAAAATTTTTAATCGCATGATTTTTTTGCGATTAATTGCATTGTTATGCGTAAAGTTCAATAATGAATTCAAAAGTAGTGTATTGTGCACTTTTATTTTAAAGTACTGCTATATGAACGAAGGTCAATAACATCTGGTTTAAACACTTTAAACACATCAGGTTCTTGTTAGCAGCAGTATTCCCTTTACACAGCAGCAGTTATAACACAGTTATAATGATTCTGATCATAGATATTCAGACGTGTTCACAATTTTATCTTCATGTGTGTAATGCCGTGTTCACACCAAACGCGGCGCGATTTCATCGGGCTGCTTCATTTGCGCCGCCGGTCTCGCCAGGAACCATTTGTGTTCATTCGCGCGAATCGCGCCGGAGAGGGGGCGTGGCTTATCGCCCTGAAAGCCGTTCAACTGTCCGCCATTAACCATGGAAAAAATAACCTCTATTTCTGCTTAGTACATGTTGTGGAAGTCACAGATATCCCGGGAAACTAAACGCCGTCATGTCTGGTTCATAACATTGTCCAGAGGAGCTCCGTGGATTTTATCGAAGTGTATTCACTGTGTCTATCAAGCCACACGTCGCTGTTTACTACAGCTGTATGAACACTAAATAAACTGATTGCTGTGATTTAACGGCAATAAACCGACAAAAAGGGACTCTGAAATAACTACGTAATGATGCCGATTTGTAGGCTACTTGTCTTCTCAATGGAGCGGATGGAGCGGTGCTAGGCTATGCTAACATTGTAGCAGCTCCACCAACACTCAGAATAACGTCATGTAGACGTAAATACGGCAGCGTCTATTCATTGTTTGTACCATATGCTTTACACACACACATGTATACACATAGTTTGGTCCGGTCTCTATTGATATGAGGTATCGTAGAGCTCTGGGTGAACACAGATGGCTACAGGATTTATTTCCTGATTCAACAACGGCAGGACGTCAGTGATGACAGGGGGAGCAACTCAACGCTGATAGGCTATCGCGCCGGGGCGTAACGCGAATATTGTGCCAAAGTTGAAAAATTTCAACTCACGCGTTTGGGGCGATTTGGTGTTGGACACAAATTTGCGTCAATCGCGCCGCTCCATCGCAAATTCGCGCCGCACCAGTCTCATCGCGTCTGTGCATAGACTTTGTATATGTAATCAATTCGCGCCGCGTTTGGTGTGAACACACCATAAGAGATGCAATTTAAATATACTTCTTGAAAACTGCAAACCTATCTACGTCGTGTTTTTATTTTTGTTAAATTCTCAGTAGCGATAACTAAATGATGCTTATTATACATATTACAAACAAAACACTTTGAAAACTCTAAAAAATAATTTAAATGAATCATTTCTTTTTTTGGTATTGTGGTCAGACACATATGCAACGCTGATTACCGTAATATGTGTGGTATTTGTTATAAATGTACGTTGGTACATAGAGGGTGATAAGAAGCTGTACATGGAGGGACTTAGGACCCAGGGGAATGTAGGTGAAGGAAACAGGAAGAGACGCCACACAAACAGCTGTTCACCGCTCGCTGCCCGGTTCTTGTGTTAAGAATATCCGCTTAATAATAAAAAAAAACTGTGTTAACGCGCGATACAATAATTGTCGGCGTTATTTAATTAATGCGTTAACGTGATAACGCGTTAACTTGCCCAACACTAAAAAATATATATTATCACAAAAAGTCACAGTACAGTATGTCATAAAAAAGGCAAAAAAGACATGTAAAATCAAAGTATATACTGTAATCCAATAGAAAGTTACTCGTATTCAGTGTAGTATACTGTACAAATGTCATTAAGAAAGTCATAGTCTTCACCAAAGTGGTGGATTTACTGACCACAATTATCTTCTTTAGTGCTGAAAAAGAAAACAGAATTTGAAAGAAATGTTTTTATAGCTTTGAAACATGAGAATTCCCTTCAATGTACAGCATCCCATCCCATCAATAACTCAAACAGCATAAAAATCCCCACGAACGAGTTCACGCAGGGCTCAATGAGAATCAGTGGTCCAAGCCAAAGTCCTTCTGCAAGTTGTTTATTGTTGTAAATACTGTTACAAACATTCTGGCTCTGGTACAGGAATGTAGCTCCAATAGCTAGAACATCACTGAAAAAAAAAAAAGCTAGCAAATAAATAAACATTGCTGCTGCTTCACAGAAAAGGTATTTTCATGTTTTTTTTTGTTTCTTTTAATCTTTAGACACAATAAGAGTTAACGTTTCAGTTACATTCAAAATGAGTGCACTTATAAATACTTGTTAGCCAACCGCGCTGCTGCCGCCAGCTTCAAGTGCTTGTTTCCTTGGTTAGCTTCATTGTGTCGCACTAGCCTACAATCCCTGACACACTATGGAGGGAAAATATTACATACACACACACACACACACACACACACACACACACACACACAC